CTTATATAGTCAATTATTTTTATTTCATGGGTGACTTTCGCAGATTCCGCAATTAATTTTAATTATTCCTAAATTTATTTCCAAGTTATAAAAATTGTTATTGTACAAAAAAATTTGTCGCGAAAATCACAAAAAAAAAGAAAAAAAAAAATCACCTAAAACAATTGCAGTAATGAAAACTTGAGAATCTAAAATGGATTCAATGATGGTATAAAGAACGTGACTGGAAAGTAGCCCTCAGTGTACAGGGCAATCCTTCTATTGTTGACTAGTGCATCATGAAGGAAATCATGGGTAGTAGAAAATAAAAATATAGTAGGTAGGTGGGGTGATGGCTGTTAAAATTTAGTGAAAAATAGAGATGTATTTTTAGGAAGTATTTTATTGTTGCATTTAAGTATTGCTTTAATATTAAGGCTTACCTTTTAAATGATAATTTTTCTGTCACCACTTAATTTAAAGTCAATTTAATGTACATAGGTCCTTACTCCCCATAGAAACATTTATTTTTATTTCATAGGTGACTTTCGCTGGATTTCGCAATTAATTCTGATTATTCCCAAGTTATAAAAATTGTTATCGTACAAAAAAGTTTATCAAAAGAAATCACCAATGACAATCGCAGTAATGAAAATTTGGGAATCCAAAATTTCAGGATTGCGGGTTTGGATAGTCAGCTTGATTCCAAAATGGTATGACATATTGGGCTACAGTCTCTAGGAGTAAAGTTGAAAAAGTGTGACACACTGACATTTGCATTTATTTATATAGATAGAGGACCTCTCCCATTGCTTTTTCAACATATGGTCCAGCAGCTCGGTTTTTAGAACCAAACAGCCAAACTACCCACACTGAGCACACTTTTGGAAGAGCCGAATACAGAGAACAGGTGAACAAGGTTATGAATTCAGAGTTGTCCTTCTAGACTGGTTGCTACCCAATGCTATAAAACCCAGTTTGTCCTATTATTTATCCATTTGCATTTATTTATATAGATGATCCATTGCACATAATTAGGTTACAATAAAATTTGTATTTTATATGAATACAACCTTTTGAAAATTGGGCTATAATAGATAGGAGCCACTTTTAGATTCACAGGCAGGGCTGCATCATAGATTCAAGGGAGGGCCATTAGACCCTTGCACTGGTCCTGGTGTCAATACTGGATGGTGATATTCTGTTCAATACTTAAATGTAATTGTCAGGTCTGTAGATATTCATATATGCCTCATTCCTGATATTGAATACCCCCCCCCACATAAATATAACATACATTAGCTTTTTAGCTCTCTAGGAAAAGGTTTTTTATTTAAAAACAACAGCTCCTACTGCTATTAAGCATTACTCTTCAAGTATGAATTGAGTTCTCTGAGGTGCTGGTGTATTTTGTATAGAGAAAAATGTTAAAATTCTCTTCCTTTCTGCTGTGTGATGATGGCCTAGGGGTAAGACATTTGATGTCAGTCAGGTTTTGATCCTGGCTTGAAGCAATCAGACATCAAGCCACACTGAGGAGCTGTGATACAACAAAACAGTTAGTGGATGACTATATATTTTACATATAAGAGAAATTAAAAAATACCCCATTTTTTAAAAATTTCTCTTATATGTAATCTATTTATTTATGCTCTGTTATAATAAATACATTGAGCTCTCTTTCTGGATCAGTTTTAATATTTTATATTATTAGGATTCACTTGGGTTATTTACCTATGGAGTTATATATATATGCATTGGACAGCCACTTAAAGTGCCCTATATAATATCAAGCACAGTTTAACTAACAACTTTAAAAAGAGAATATTAACTATCCAATAAAACATCAATTATATATATATATATATATATATATATATATATATAAGATTGTATTAAAAGAAATTAACTATGGCACCTTGATAGCTTGTATGTTATATTTTCAGCATCATATCATCAGGAATAGTATTCATTTTCTCTTAATTTTTAATTTTTATTTCCATTTTGGGCTTATACTGGATTCCATTTTCAAAATATTTACTTAAATGTTGACATTCTGTTCCACTTCATCTTTTTATGTTTTTGCTTGTCAAGTCAGATTATTGGGTGAGTCAGGACTTGGTTAATGGGTGTAAATGGTAGAAGCAGTCGACCAGAAGTTACAGATGATTTTGGAAGAGAAAGATATTTCTGGATAATAAAAAAAAAAAAGAAAAACTGAGAAATGTACTTCTTTTAAAGTTCTACCAGCCTCTCTCTCAGAACCACCTGCTTCTCTCTCCTTCTCACTTATCATACTGCCCCTCTCTCTCTCTCCCTCCCTCACATCATACTGACTCTCACACTTCACATCTACCTGCCTCTCTCTCTCTCTCACATTTACCCCGCTCTCTCTTACATACATTTACCTGCCTCTGACTATTTCGCCTCTCTTTTCTTATCTACATGTCTGACCATCTCTTCATATTTGTCTCTCTCTACTTGTCTTTATTTCTGTCTCTCTCTCACTGTTCCTATCTAA